CTTTTATATTTTACCAAAAAATTGGGTAATAATAAATGTTTTATCATTTAATATAGGGGAAACTGTTTTTTTTAAAAAATTTCGGTGATTTTTCCTTAATATAGTAAAAAAATAAAAACCCCAGTGGTGAATAAATACCACCAAAAGAAAGCTCTATCTGTCCCCAAAAAAGGGTATAAAATTAATTTCAGTACAGCGCTGCATGACGGAATAAATGTCAGTCAAAGTACCGCAGCGCTGAATACTGAAAAATGGCCTGGATGGGAAGGGGGTTTAACACCGTGGATGTCAACTGGTTAAAGGATAACTAAATCCAAGAACAAACAACCTATGTTATAAAATAAATAATATTGGTGGTAACCCATCATAATGGGCACAGTAGGTGTACAGACTCAGGAACTCAAGTGCAGAGGACTCAGTAACAGAGTTCCTAAGAGATATTCAAAACTTCCAGGTAGCTTAAAGTATAACTAAACCGAAGATCAAAAACTATAACAGATTCCAGCTTACCGGTCCTTAGATGTGATGGCTGTATTAGTTTTCTTCTTTCAAAGAACATTTTCAGCAAGTGCAGGAAATACCTGTCTATCTTACCAGAAATGCATTGTCCTTCTCACTTCCTGTAAAATGAATAGAAAGCAAAAAGAATGTAATTGCCTAATTTCCTCACCAGCAATGTAATGGAAATAAAAAAAGGAAGACAGGTTTGTAATACAGTCTAGGGGGTAACAATGGTCTCCTCTGTAGATATAGTGGAGGAGTGAGTGTAGTCACCCTGGGACAGGTAGTCTTTTATCTGCAGGCTTACCAGGTGAAACTAAAGCAAAGTAAGCCTAAACAAAAGGAAACTAATGCAGGCACCACACCTAGCTAATGGTAAGTGGCCATACATTACATTTTAGTTTTTGGGTTTAGATACACGTTATATAAAAGCAAGTTGTAGTTTAGGACTACCGGCCCTTTAAAGTTTTATCCATAATAACTGAGTGACACCCTTTCCAGGGTGTCAGGCATGCAATACTTTTTTTCAGAGCCCACCACTGCATTCCCATTGCAAAGGGGTGATGTGAACCAAGCCAATCCAGGACAAGGCAAATTGCTTTGTCTTGCATTGAGGCTCCGCTGGAAACAACGGCCAGCACAGCTCCAACACATCTGGTGTGAATCGTCCTTAAGGATTAACTCCTGAGTTTAGTGTCACTTTAAGACTAAGATTGGTCAAACTATACAGCGGCCGCATATGTATTTATGTATATGATACGATTACATGCGGTTTGGAATAGATCAATGTCGCTGGATGCATCAATCGTGCTTCCAGGGATAGTGATTTATTCCAAACCACATGTAATCATATCACATATGATTACATGTGGACTTCCACTTGCAGATGCAGCTGCTGTCACCCAGTCATTTACTTGATAGGTGACAGAGGTCACATTTAAATTGAAACTGTAGGTTCGTGCCTCAGGCATCCCAAATCGCATAGTGTGAATGTAGCCTAAATGTAGTGAAATAAACAATCTATGCATTACTTTGTTATCTTAAAGCGGACTTTTACCCATATCTTTAAAATAACAACAAACACACTTTTGCAAATGTTTACTAATGACAATCCACAAACACATACTTCTAGATAATTGCAGACTTTGTATTCTTTGCATACCTTATTACTCTTTTCTTCCCCAGTCTTCTGTCAGTGGCCATGTTTACTAAGGGCAGATTACTAGCTCTCCATTTACTTCCTGAAAATCTAGCACGTTTGACTAGACATGTGACCATGCACATCATCTCAGGAGAGGAAAATGCCTTTTCCTGAGATGAGATTTCCCAGCAATGCTCTGCTGATGCAACCTTTCCAGGATGCAATGATTGGGCAAACTGAAGTAATTTTGCCCTTTCAATGCAGGAAGGGAATGCCTTGCAAGTGTAAGTATTTCAAACCCACAGCATTTTACACCTGACATGTCTATTGTTATTACTAATCATCATACATAGAGGGATGCATTGGTAGAATTTGATTTTGAGTGTAAAGGTCTACTTTAAGTAAAAAGAAAAGTATCGCCAAATCACTAATAGATATGAGCCTTGGCTTGGTGTGGTCCCAGTTTGCCTGAGTTTGCCCAAGTCTGCTGAAAACTGTGACGGCCACCCCCTCCTCCTAGCCCAATCAATGGGAGCTATTATGGTGGGGGCATTCCCTGCCCCTTTTGATGTATGTGAGTGCAGATAATGCACCCTACTGCAACTGATTGGGCCAGGAGGAAGGGGGTAGAAGTCACAGTTTTCAGCGGGCTTGGCCAAACTCAAGGGACTGGGTTCACACCAATCCCAGGCTCATCACTAATCACTAGGTCCATAGCTAAAATGTAAAGATTTTTCTCATAAGGTGTATGTACGTGCAAGAGCTGAACTGGTTAAGATATAAGAGCTCTTTATAGAATAAAGCTGAAGTTATACTGTTTTGTGAAAAAGTCTCCATCATGTCAGTAAACAACTGCATGTTAATCAGTGTACCAGAGTAGAGATTTGCTTTAAGCAGTGTCACCTGGTTATAGGTAAGTGGCATGACTGATGAATGATATTTCTACTAGTTTTCTAGGTGCATAGCACTGTACGGGTTCTAATTATTATGATTATTATACAGGTTCTAATTAACTATTACTATTACAAAAGTAACTATTGCAGATATCTGCACCCAGAGTATTCCATTTGTTGAAATAGGAGCTGCCCCATGAGGTTCTTATGTAAATATCTGTGTTTGTGTTTCTTACAGTTATCGTATCATGTTGAGTTGCTGGGATGGAGATCCTAAGGAACGGCCAATATTTACTGACCTTGTGGGAATCCTGGGGGACTTGCTGCAAGAGAATGTCCAGCAGGTATGTTTAGACTGGGTGTCTATTTGTCTGTCTACTCTACATTCCAGTTTTTGCATATTGTACAGGTTTGCATTCAGGGGTGTAACTACAAATTACAGAACCCCATAGCAAAATGTTGATGGCGGCCCCCACTTTGCTTGCACACGTTGTAAAAATTGTATTTATGGCAGTGTTGCATATTGCAAACTTACTATAGCATTTTTATATATTTAGGCAGAAGAGTTATAACCTCTGTTAGGTTTGTATTTCTGTCTGCATTCCCCCTGGGGACATGCACCCTCTCTATTTGTCTATTGTCATCAGTACAAATGATTTGATGATTTGCAAATGATTTGCAATGAGCAATCTAAAATGTACAGTTGTCATCAGAACAGGATATGAGGGGAAATCTTCCAGTTTCCTTTTTTGTTATAGCACAGGGGTAGGCAACCGTGACACAATAAGAACGCCAGGCAGAAATTAAACCAATCTAATGAATGCAGCTTTATACTATTAAAAACATTTATTTTAAATACAACTAATATATATACCCCTTGCAACAGGGAGAGGATAACTACAATCAGGTGCACTACATTCATATGTGCTGAGAAGGAATATGATGAGATTTGAAGAGAGCAGAGGGATTAGCTAATCTGCCTGTTTCTGCTTCTTTACTGTCAAATCACAGTTGGGGTCACAGTCTTGCTGTCCTGCTTTACTGCAGCAGAGAAAAGACAGGTCACTGGTCTGGCTGGGCTATGTGCAGAGCTCTGTATATGCCAGGAATGGATGGACAAAAATACAAATCAAAGACAGCTACCATATTTCAACTTGGTATTTGCCAGCTATTTGCCTGCAGTTCAGCTTTAGCTATATTTATAAGCCAACACAGTTACAGTAAAAAAAAAAAAAAGAGAGGAAATTTTGTATAGAAAGAATACTAATGGTTCCTAATTGCCTACCACAGGAAGGAAAGGACTACATCCCTCTCAATGACTCACAGAGCTTGGAAGAAATGGACTCATCACAAGCTCCTATCTGCCTACAGCACAATTCTGATGAGGAAGAGTGTGACATGAGACTGCACTGCCATAACCTGGCTGTAAGGTGAGACTGTAACAACACAAGCTGGACACTATTTACCAATGTGTTTTAAAGAATGGTTTATCTCCGATAGCGTGCATTGTCTTATAGCATGCAGTGATACCCTACCTTTCATTCTCCAATGATGCAAAGACAGAGGCTGATTGATAGTTGTAGGACAACCAGAACATCTGAAACTATTTTCTCAGTCACTTTGACGCTGAACTATAGCTGTCAAGAAAAGTACATTCAGTATAAGGGATAGACTATCCGGAGTGGCACTGTATATAAAAATGTAATTCACATTTAAATCAATTGCCTCTATATGGCTGAAATTCTTGCACATGCAATTTCTTGTGCAGAGCAGTAAGTTGTTTGAGCCCATCGTGCACAAACTTTCCTGATTCATTGTGCTATGACCATACTGAGCCAACATCTGACAGTAAATTTCCGCTGCCCAAACAAAGCGCACTACGGCACATTGTTGCTCGATGGTGCAGTCTAGCAATGGAGCATCCATGTTTCTGTGTACGTGACTACCTCTCGACTACAGTCCGAGCACTGCACTGCACATGGTTGAACTATCCAACAGGCTATGTAAATATGCTGCATTGCGCAAGCTTCTCTCTTATCCGGTTACCGGGTAATTTATAAGTTGCCTCTACTTTTTGATTCTCCCTTATATAATAGTGACGTGATTCGCCCTTAACAATGCTTCCACTTGTGCTAGGGCATGTTTCTGGCTGGGTGGCTCTTATTCATAAGTGCTTCTGCATGCAGTGGCCACATACAGTGGTAGCCTTGCATGTATTTCCAGTAGAGGGTATTGGTGAGGTGTTCCTTGTTAACACATGTGAAAGCCTAAGGCGGGACAAACATTTCAGGTTGAGTTTGGGGTTTTAAAACAAAGATATGCTGCCTGATAACAGCTCAGGTTTATTTATGCAACTGACACTTTCTATAGTCCATGTAAAAAATCCTGACCCAACATCAGAAGGTCGATCATTCATTTCTTGTATTCTTCTCTTTTCTGATGAGTCCTACTGATCATCACTGGACTATAAATGATGAAGGATGCCAGTACTGAAAGTTTTTTTCACTGAGAACATATGATAACTCTGCAGCTCCCCTTAGTTAAAAAAAGTTACCCCTAACCCTTTCCTATCAGAGCACAAAGATAACATTTAACCCTCCCCCCCATTTTCTGCTGCATACTCACTAGACCCTGCACCAGGAACCCCTGTCCCAAGCATATAAAGGTCTAATGCCAAAATGAAACAACACATGAGATTCCCAGCACCAGATGAAAAACCTTTAGTATGTATACTGTATATCACTCTTTAATATCACTTCTATATTATACGTAAGGAGTCAGGACAAAGTTACTGCCAAATCAGTGGGCCTAAAGTTGAAACACATATTGTCTAGTCCATAAGGAGCATACATTTCCTAGTCCTGAAGTAGTTAATACTTCTTTCCTGAAATGTCTTCCTAGATTTTAGCTTAGTCTACCCTTTCATGTTTATTATGACTACAGTGTAGACTGTAGACCATGTCTAATATGCAGATTTCTTTTAAGTTTTATCGCTTCATTGTGTACTGTAATGGCCGTCTTCTGGCACAACATTGCTTCATTAGTATATTGTCTACACAGATATTACAACTGCGTTTCCTTTCCTGGCTGCTTCACTGGTGGCAACCAGATTCGCTGCCCATCAAGACTTAAAACATTTGAAGAATTTCCAATGACACATGTGGCACACAAAGGGCACCCGGTAAGTTCAATCTGGGTTCTTATCAAAAGACATAGACAAATTATGCTGCCACTTGGGTACTGGCATCCAACCACGTTCTCTTTATCAGCTGTTGACTCCCCAGTTTTGCCAGGGTCTAAATTTCATATTCATACAGTAAAAACCAACTTCCTTGATGCATTTCTCACTGTCACTGATAGACACAAGGCTAATAGCTTTATGATAAAGCACAACAGCCTGAAATGTGTAATTAGGTGTTCTATCTCTTCCATGGACTCTGTATGTATATGGGTTCATTTAGCACCATCTACCACAATATTTCTGGAGAGCAGAGCTGTACACATTAATAACGAAATCCATAAGTGCTTGACATGGGACTTTAGAAAAGGAATATGATAGGATAAGCTCACACAAGTTCACTTTGAAAGGAATCTTTAATGTATGATTGGTGTGAGTTACTTTTTTAAATCAATTGAAAGTAATTTTTTAAGCAACAATTTTACTTGCATGGTGCATCATATTTTAGAGGAAGGTATTATAATTTATGCAGCTTTGTAGGTGCTCCCCGTAGTGGTATGTCAGACAGTGCAGGTACAGTTGATATCGCTGCTGAAGGATTGCCCAGATTAAACCACTTTTGGTATAAGTCATGTTAAGGCATTATTGTGTTCATTATTTATTAATGGTCAGAGCTGTCCCATTATTCTGCACAGCTTAATACACACACGTGCAAATACAGGCATTGGCATACAGCACAAAATATGCTTGTATTTGTGCCACCCAAGAGCCCCAGCATAGTAATGTATGGACAGAAAACACTGTAAGTGGGTGTAAATGCGTAAACACCAGTGCCAGTGTTTACATGTGCACGTGTGTAAGTTGTCAAACGTGACATTTGCACATGTAGGAACTTATGCCTGTGCTTGTGTAAACACCAGCACATTGCTATGGCAAGAAAAATTCAGCAGATGTACTGTATACCAATATGCCTGTATATGCTCTTGCGTGCATGGGCCCTAATAAAACCAGCAGTGCAATATCTATGCAGCTCTTTTAAGCACAGCAGGTATATACTCGTATAACACTAAAATGTATCTCCCCCATGTACATATTAGACCAGGGGTGCCCATAAGGTCGATCACGATCTACCAGTCGATCGCAAAGCTATCTCTGGTAGATCGCGGGTCGACTCCCTGTCCCGCGCTGCGTTTACCCGAATATGTCGGACGCTAAAGTATCCAACACATTCGGCTCTCCCCTCCTGTCTGCATCCGTCAGTAGTACTTGCCGCACGTAGCGTAGGTTGCGCCGTCTCTTCCATGAGACACTTGCTCCGCCCCCTTGGTCCACCCCTCCGTCTTCCTCACTGTCCATAGCCTCCAGCAATCGTGACACTGGCAGCTCCTCCCTCCTCCTCCCTCTCAGCACATTCGGCTCTCCCCTCCTGTCTGCGTCCGTCAGTAGTACTTGCCGCACGTAGCGTAGGTCGTGCCGTCTCTTCCATGAGACACTTGCAACGCCCCCTTGGTCCGCCCCTCGGCCCGCCCCTCTGTCTCCTCCGTCTTCTTCACTGTCCATAGCCTCCAGCAATCGTGACACTGGCAGCTCCTCCCTCCTCCTCCCTCTCAGCATATTTGACTGGCCCCTCCCCGCCTGCAGCTTTGGACACTCCTCCCAGTCTGCACGTTGGAACCACACCTGAAGAGCCAGAAGCAGGTAGGCCATTGGCTTGAGTGGGAGCTGATAAGGGCTGCGCAGTTAAGATTTGTAATGCCTTGTACACACCATCCTCCGTGCGTTCCGGCCCTATTACGTCCGGAACGCATTGGATCGCATTGCGGCTAGCTCAGTTTGCTGTTCGTGCGGGAGGGAGTGTGACGGTGTGTTGAAGTGAATGGTACCGCAGCCACGCCCTCTGGCCGCAATGCAATGAGCCACGCGGGAACGCAAGGCACATCAATGCCTGCGGTCCGGTCAGGACTGGACCGAACCGTAGGCATTGATGTGCCTTGCGTTCCAGTACGGCCGATTGCATTGCGGCCAGAGGGCGTGGCTGCGGTGCCATTCACTTCAACAAACCGTCACGCCCCCTCCCACCCCACGACAAACTGAGCTAGCCGCAATGCGATCCAATTCGTTCGACACAATAGCGCTGGAACGCACTGAGGATGGTGTGTACGAGGCCTTAGAGCCAGTTCACACCACAAACAGTGCATTCCAGAGCCGTCCAGCTCTGAAACACACTGTATCGCACCCTGGATGGTTCCCTGCGTTCAGGGGCGATCGCCTGCACCCGAACGCGTGCACACTAGTGCCTGCGTTCCGGTCCAGTGCAATCTTCAAAAATGCTGCAAGCACTTATTTTGCAGATTGCACTGAACCGGAACGCAGGCATTAATGTGCCACGCGTTCAGGTGAGGGCGATTGCAATACGGGCGGGGGGCATGGCTATGGTGACATTGACTTCAATGCACCGCCGCACCCCCTCCCACACCTGAACGCAGATAATGCCTGAATCAAAGAATGCAATGTTTTAGGACGGTGTTTAGGGTTTGTTCGCAGGAGGGAGTTTACTATGTGATACAGTACATTCCAGCAGCTAACCGTGCTGGAACGCACTGTGCTCTGGGGTACATCTGTATTGTGCTGGGGTGCATCTGTATTGTGCTGGGGTGCATCTGTATTGTGCTCTTGGGTACATCTGTATTGTGCTCCAACATCTGGATTGTGCTCTTGGGTACATCTGTATTGTGCTCCAACATCTGGATTGTGCTCTTACATCTGTATTGTGCTCTGGGTACATATGGGGTACATCTGTATTGTGCTCTGGCGGACATCTGGATTGTGAATTTATTAAAGCAAAAAACTAAAATATCACATTTAGTTAAGTATTCAGACCCTTTGCAGTGGTCTCAGTAATAAATTTAATGTGCTTGTTTATTAAATAAAGGTGTTGTTTTCGTTGGTAGATCTCATTGGGTTCGTCCTTTGAAAAGTAGATCTCAATACAAAAAATTGTGGGCACCCCTGTATTAGACTATACCAAAATCAATTGAACTGTGAGCTGGTCTTAACACTGAATAATGTTAGCTAGTTTTGTATTTATTTTTACTATCAACCTATTGATCATAATATTCTTTTCATGTTATTTATGTAAACAGGACAATCAGACTGACAGTGGGATGGTACTGGCTTCAGAAGAACTGGAGAGGATAGAGAACAGACACAGGACAGAAGGGGGATTCAGGTATTTGACACACACACATTGTGGCCTTGTTGTAACCGCTGACACTAGTGTATATTTCCCTACCATGAAAGGGCCTCTTGGTTGTATTTGCCCCCCAGGACAAATGTCCCCACCCTGCAACCAACAATTCAATGTTTAGGTCCTGTGGGACCTGTTGACATGCCTGGGCATTGATGATTAAGAGGTGTGTGTTCAGGGGAAGGGGGGGGGAATTTGTGGATCTCTTAGAGTGCACTGAAGGGTAACAAATTCAAGTCTGAAGCTGACAGCTTTTCTCCATTCAGATTGGCTTGTAACTGGTTACACCGCAGGGAAAGCCTCCCCACTATGTAACCTGTCATGGATGGAGCGCTGCCTGTTAATTACAGGCAGTGCTGCATCCGGCTTTTGACAGGTAGTTAGGTTACACAGCAGCGGGCTTCCCCACCTAACTAATGAGGCAAGAGCTGTCACAGCCTCTACTCTTTGTTAGAGGCGTGAGCTCAGTGGATGGTTTGGACCAATGGCAAAGCGTCATTGGTCCAAGCTGTCCAAACAAAAAAAGAAAAAAAACAACCCACTGAGGCCATCGATCTCGATGCCTCAGCAGTGACGGGCAAGGGAGGGGCAGGGAGGCTCCTCCTTGTCTCCTCCCTTCCTCCTCCCACCCTCCTTCACACTAGCTGTGGCTTCGTCTGGATGGGGGTGGGGCTTCGGTGGGGTATGTGCAGGGCTTAGGCGTGTTGGGGCCGGGGCTGGGCGTGCAGGGGCTGGGAAATGCCTCACCAGGAAGCGAAGGTACCGCACGTCACTGCCCTCTACCAAATGTTTAGTGTCATGTGTCCCTGCTGCAAAGACTACCACTCACTTCCTATTTGAACAGGAAGCAATGGGAAACCTCTTCAACAGGAACACAGACAAAAACACATTTTTAGTACAGAGGGAAAGGATTAGAATTTCTGCCAATGTTTTAATGATGTCTGTTCTTTCCTGTCCTGTTGACAACCTCACCTCCCACTTCTTGGTGTCACAGGGACAGCAAGCACGGCAGAAGTCTGCCTAATGGAAATACAGACAGAAATAAAAACCTGAAATAATGTTATCTCTACCCCACTCTTTTCAAAACTAAAAAGAAGAGAAAATTGCCAGGAATTAGGCTTTTATTTACCTTCACAGGATAAAGACTGAAAAGTAATTGGTGGAATTTTACATTCACCTGACATGTATTGCCTAAAAATATGGTTAGTAGAATATTTGGTAAGGATAAGTTTCTTTATTCTATAGTGAAAGTTTTCGTCTCATTGCATATGATCTGATTCAGTGTAGTGCATTATGTAACACTAATTCTTTTCTTCAACTTATTTTTCCACAGCAGTAAAGGTTCCCGTAGAAATAAAGAAATAGCTTCAGGCTGTTCATCCCCCGAGAACCGGAGTCACCCCTCATATCCATCTTATAGGGGAGGGCAAACATTTTATAACAGCGAATATGGAGAGCTGTCAGAACAGTCAGAAGGGGACAGCTTCACCCCCCCTGGAGGCTCTGCCAGTCCTGGGATCCTCCACGCCTCCTTCTTCTCTGATGAAAACTGAATCTCCACAGAGGCCTTTTCCTCCTCATCATATTCAGCAGTAAAACACTAATTACACATGGAAGGAAAACAAATTGGATGACTGTGCTGCAAAGGCCCAGCCACAGATATCTGGACACCAAGGAACAGAAACTGGAGATTGAACTATAACAAAACCTGAACTATAGACAAATGATCACAATTTAAATAAGAGACTTGTTGCCACACAACTTTTCCTGACTTCTCTGAGGAAACACATTTGCTAATGTTAAGATTCATTTTTCTGTATAATGTCTGATGTACAGTATAATTTGTTCTAAAACTGAATTAAGCTGCAAACATCTATCATCATAAAAACAAAATAGACCCGATCCCTTTACCTTGCAGAAAAAGTCCATATTTCTGGAGAGAACCATCAAGGTCGCCATTGCAGACTTTTAATTTGGCAAATGCTAGCTGCCTTGCTGTCATGCTGACTTCAATAATGTGAGTCAATGGCCCAAAACAAGGAAGTAGGTAAGGTCTTCTGACTTTCCTGATCTGCGTACTTGCTCCAGGTCAGGGATTCCGTGATAGGTAAAGTCAGAGGGTCAGCATAATAGTCAGGGAACTAGAGATGAGCAATGGCAGCTCCCATATTTCTGCAAGGTTTACTTTAAACAAAGCCCCAGGTCCTCTTACAGGAGAGCCCCAAAGAATGTAGCAAGAAGTAAAGCTCTGTTGTAGATCCCCAAGGTCTCCCAACTGGAGGCACTGGCTCTGCATCGGCCACTCTTATTATGAAGGCAAGCACACGAGTCTCACTTTTCCTGATGCATTCTTCATAATACAAAAATAAATCAGACTACACTGGTGAATGAGGCCGAGTCATTATGGTATTTGTATTTACCACACCTGCACTGCGCTATACTGTGTTATGTTATAACAAATACATGAGTTCAAATGAATCCCTTTATGTACACTGATAAGTGCTTATCAGTGTACATAAAGGGGATTTATTTGAACACATGTATTTGTTATGAGTATCACAGTATAGTGCAGTGCAGGTGTGGTAAATATAATGTTCACAGTGTTTTTCACTTTGATAGCATTGCAGCATACAATTACTGATAAAAGGAGGGATTGAAGACCAGAGCGCGGTTGAGAGGAAAAAATTATGGTATTTGTATTTTCACCACAGCTGGATTGCCATGTTTGCCTGCCCCTTTTTTAGACCAACTTGTGATGGAGTGTTGAGTGGGACACCCTGAGAAGTCAGCTGCAGAGATCTCTCTGGCTGCCTTACTAACAGTGAGAGATGGGCCAATGCTCTCAGGAGGGAGGAAGTTCATTAAAGCATATCTAACCCTAAAAACAATGATGTCATATATTGCGGCTTACCAGTCCTTAGATGTGGTGGCTGCATTTGGTTTCACTTTTCTGGTTAAATACAGAGAATACCTGTTGATCTTGCCAGAAATGCAAGTGTCCTTCTCACTTCCTTTAAGCTTATAAAAAAAAGCACAAATAACCTTATCTCTATTCTGTAAACTACTAGTCTAGTGTATTGAGATGAACAAAGGCATACATGTTTGAAGTCCAGGTTCACTTGGTAAAATTAAAGGAAAAGAAGCCTAATAAAAGAAAGTTAATCTAATCCCAACATCAAAGGAGTGGTACACTGCAATATATTATATCTAGTTTTTGGGTTTAGATATGCTTTATCTAAAAAGAAGTCACTGGCCCAATTCAGTAATATTGACACATCTGTTTATTCATAAACATATCTGTTGTTTGCACAAACACAGTTTCAGAATTAAGTTGGTACTTCTCATTTAACAGCTAGAGGGCTAAATGTTCTAAAAGGAGAAAGGGTAATTGAAAAATTAAAAATAGATTTTATTTGTTAAGTAAAATCACAAGAACTGTCAAAGTGGAAATATAAAGTGATTTATTAAATCTCACTACAAATATACAGACGCAATAATAATACTGAAATGGTAATTGAATAACTAATTGATATTGATAGCCTGTACAGTGGGGGACATCCACAGATCTTGTGCAGTTTTTCTTTTACATTTTTCAGTCTTGCCTGTGTTTCTGTCTAAGGAATCTATTAAACAGTATTGTATACGTTTTACCGTTTTGTAAGGGGAATCTCAAAAATACATATTTTGGGAAAGATTTATAAATGTCTCTCAATATGTACATTCTGTCTATAAACACACAGATAACACTGCCATGACTTTTATAATAGAGGTACTTTGCGAAACCTGAAAAAAAAAATAATGCCATTTTAGTAAGCACAGATCAGTAGAAGGGCCCTGAGAATAATATTAAATTCCAACCTAAGCCAAAACTTGGCATTTCATTTTGGATAGGGTAGGGAAGAGTCAGAGCCTCTGGGTGGCTTTTTATTTCTGTCTGTGTGCCTGTTGGAGAGATTTGCCATTTTCATTGGAGACAGAGGGAAGAAGACACAGTTACTGTCACTGACTTGGTGACAACTGCACCGCACATTTCCTGTACAGATATCAAAGGGACAGGAAGTGAAGGGGAAATCCCTTAATGACATCACCGACAGAAATGGAAACCTGCACTTTTGCACTTCCCCCATTTTATCCAAAACAAAAATATGAAAAGCATTAATTTAGGCTTTATGAGCCAATTACATTTTAATTCATAACCTGTTATGAGGCAATTATGTGGCTGCCGTTACTGGCTTCTTTCCCTGGTTTTAATATTATCGCTGATCCAGAAAAAGTATGCAGCAGGTTAAGTCAGAACTACTGATCTGCATTCCTGTTTCAGGTCCATTACACAGGATTAAAGCAACAGGTTCAGCTTCACAGTCAGAAAACAAGCATTTACAGAAGGATAGACATCCTCAATATTTCTCACATTTCCCTTAAGAGTGTTCAGTTCCAACTTGTAGCACTGGAAACTATCTTGTAGGGGCAGTTGGGTTGTTAAGCCACATCAACCAGGTAAATCTTGTTATGCTCCCCCGCAGCCTCTGGATGTAGCATTTGCACAAGTTTCAGTAGTGCAGTCATTTAAAGAAGCAGGGGTCCTAAAGTTGGACAGTAGACCTAACATTTGAAGGTGTTTTGCAGCTCTCTAGTAAGGTAATGAAAGGGAAATACTGACTGGTTGCTATAGGTAGCACATGTAGTTCACTTTTAGTAATCAGCCCTTTGTCTTTATGTAACCATAAAACATTAAACAACAGCAATAGACTCCATGATGGTAAAAAAAAAAAATAGTCTGTTCAGTTCTGTCGATCATTTATGCCTTAGTATTTTGCTGGGTTCTGATTAATTGCGAGGCTGCAAAATGTATAGAAGATAGTCACATTTTTGTCCATTCAGGCCACAAATCTGCAGTAAACAGGTGAAAAGTCACTGAAAAGTTTGGTTTACCCATGTGTATTGAAAAGAGCAGTTTCCACAGAGCTCCTAATATTGTAAAAAGCAGTCAAGAGGGTGATTTGTAATATCCTGCTTCGACAGAAAGTAAAGAACTGAATATTTTATGTTTTCTCCACTACATTCAAGGTGAAAGTGAAATACATTATGGACATTGCTATGTTAACAGGAGTCCAAACAGTACTGCCTGTAAATGCAGTCCTGCCAAGAGCTGGGAATGAAGGCTCATAATTGTCTTAGGTAACCTTTTACAAGTCTATCATAATAGAAGACTACAAACGGTGGACTTGGATACTCTGCTGTAAGCAATATGACTGGTGGACCATGTCACATTACTGTCATCCATCTCTTAGAGACAAACTATATAATACTGTGCCCTCTACCTACCTGAAGCCTTGTGCACCAACTGAGCCCTTTCCAAAGTGAAGTCTTCGGATAATGGACTGTTACTTCTATGTACTATGCAGAACTGAAACTTGTTCTGTTTTGATATAATATATACCTTTATATATAAATATATATTAGTATACAACACAGCGTCATGTTGTTTTGTGTATTCATTTTCTGTTTCTATGATCAAAATGTGTTCGAGCCTGAGTAAGATATTAAAGCCCAACTTGAGACAACTTGAGTTGAGTCGGGCATACACTGGCTGGGTTCACACCTGGGTGTTTTTCCGCGCTTTCGTACTCGCGGAAAAACGCTCAAACAGGGAAATGCCATTATTTTCAATGTGCATGGTTCCCATCTGGGCGGTTTTCCGTGAGTACGAACGCCTGGGAAACCGCCCTACGCCCAAAGAAGTACATGTATCGCGGTAAAAAAACGCGCGAAAAACGCGCATATTCAATACGCCTAGGTGTGAACCCAGCCTAAGCTTTTCTGATGTCAAAACCTTTTTTTTTTATATGGGATGCAAAGAAAGAAAAATTGTGTTAGCTTTACATACCAAATCACATTTTTTAACCTATAACTTACGGTTCTGTTATTAAATCTTTTTTTTTTTTTTGCTCCTCTGTTAGCGCCCAAAGTTCAAACCTCTAAGCAAGAAATAATAAAATTATGCTTCCATTCTGCATAATTGCTGGTTTGATATGTCTCACACGAGCTTCTTATCTCACCCAGAGACCCCAGATATCTGTATCAGTACAACCCAATCTACCCAACTGCAGTAGTCTATACAGTTACATATTTTCCTACAATTCTGGGGATACACTTCACTACTTTATTCATAATGTTGAATCATTTTTTTAGCTGCAGTTGAATTCAGTCACAAACTAGCAGCATGTAATTCACACCTCTCTGCATCAGGCATTAATCATTTTTGCATGGAGATTGCATACATAAAATAATCCAGGGATCCCAACC